GTGAGTCTGAGAGTGTGAGAGTGAGTGTGTGTGTGTGAGTCTGAGAGTGTGAGTGCGTGTGTGAGTCTGAGAGTGTGAGGGTGAGTGTGTGTGTGTGAGTCTGAGAGTGTGAGTGTGTGTGTGAGTATGAGAGTGAGAGTGTGTGTGAGTCTGAGAGTGTGAGGGTGAGTGTATGTGTGTGTGAGTCTAAGAGTGTGAGAGTGAGTGTATGTCTGTGTGAGTCTAAGAGTGTGAGAGTGAGTGTGTGTGTGTGAGTCTGAGAGTGTGAGGGTGAGTGTGTGTATGAGTCTGAGAGTGTGAGAGTGAGTGTATGTTTGTGTGAGTCTAAGAGTGTGAGAGTGAGTGTATGTGTGTGTGAGTCTAAGAGTGTGAGAGTGAGTGTGTGTGTGTGAGTCTGAGAGTGTGAGGGTGAGTGTGTGTGTGAGTCTGAGAGTGTGAGAGTGAGTGTATGTGTGTGTGAGTCTAAGAGTGTGAGAGTGAGTGTATGTGTGTGTGAGTCTAAGAGTGTGAGAGTGAGTGTGTGTGTGTGCGTCTGAGAGTGTGAGGGTGAGTGTGTTTATCAGTCTGAGAGTGTGAGAGTGAGTGTATGTGTGTGTGAGTCTAAGAGTGTGAGAGTGAGTGTATGTGTGTGTGAGTCTAAGAGTGTGAGAATGAGTGAGTGTGTGTGACTCTGAGAGTGTGAGGGTGAGTGTGTGTGTGAGTATGAGAGTGTGAGAGTAAGTGTATGTGTGTGTGAGTCTAAGAGTGTGAGTGTGAGTGTATGTGTGTGGGAGTCTAAGAGTGTGAGAGTGAGTGTGTGTGTATGTGAGTCTGAGAGTGTGAGAGTGAGTGTGTGTGTGTGAGTCTGAGATTGTGAGGGTGTGTATGTGTGTGTGAGTCTGAGAGTGTGTGTGTGTGAGTCTGAGAGTCTGAGAGTGTGAGAGTGTGTGTGAGTCAGAGAGTGTGAGAGTGAGTGTATGTGTGTGTGAATCTAAGAGTGTGTGTGTGAGTGTATGTGTGTGTGAGTCTGAGAGTGTGTGTGTGAGTCTGAGAGTGTGAGCGTGTGTGTGGGTGAGTCTGAGAGTGTGAGAGTGAGTGTATGTGTGTGAGTCTGAGAGTGTGAGAGTGAGTGTGTGTGTGAGTCTGAGAGTGTGAGTGCGTGTGTGAGTCTGAGAGTGTGAGGGTGAGTGTGTGTGTGTGAGTCTGAGAGTGTGAGCGTTAGTGTGTCCTGTGAGTCTGAGAGTGTAAGCGTGAGTGTGTGTGTGAGTATGAGAGTGAGAGTGTGTGTGTGTGAGTCTGAGAGTGTGAGGGTGAGTGTGTGAGTCTGAGAGTGAGTGTGTGTGTGTGCGAGTCTGAGAGTGTGAGAGTGAGTGTGTGTGTGAGTCTGAGAGTGTGAGAGTGAGTGTATGTGTGTGAGAGTCTGAGAGTGTGAGAGTGAGTGTATGTGCGCGAGTCTGAGAGTGTGAGAGTGAGTGTGTGAGTCTGAGAGTCTGAGAGTTTGTGTGTGTGTGAGTCTAAGAGTCTGAGAGTGTGTGTGTGTGAGTCTGAGAGTGTGAGAGTGAGTGTGTGTCTTAGAGAGTGAGTGTGTGTGTGATTCTGAGAGTGTGAGAGTGAGTGTGTGTGTGAGTCTAAAAGTGTGAGAGTGAGTGTGTGTGCGTGAGTCTGAGAGTGAGTACATGTGTGTGTGAGTCTGAGAGTGTGAGGGTGAGTGTGTGTGTGTGAGTCTGAGAGTGTGACATTGAGTGTGTGTGTGTTAGTCTGAGAGTGTGATAGTCAGTGTGTGTGCGAGTCTGAGAGTGTGAGGGTGTGTGTTTGAGGCTGAGAGTGCGTGTATATGTGTGTGAGTCTGAGAGTGTGTGTGTGAGCGTGAATGTGTGTGTGCGAGTCTGAGAGTGAGTGTGTGTGTGTGTGAGTCTGAGAGTGTGAGAGTGAGTGTGTGTTTGTGAGTCTGAGAGTGTGAGAGTGAGTATGTGTGAGTCTGAGAGTGTGAGTCTGTGTGAGTCTGAGAGTGTGAGTGTGTGAGAGTGAGTGTGTGTGTGTGAGTCTAAAAGTGTGAGCGTGAGTGTGTGTGCGTGAGTCTGAGAGTGAGTGCATGTGTGTGTGAGTCTGAGAGTGTGTGTGTGAGTCTGACAGTGTGAGTGTGTGTGTGAGAGTGAGTATGTGTGTGTGCGAGTCTGAGAGTGTGAGAGTGAGTGTGTGTGTGAGTCTGAGAGTGTGAGAGTGAGTGTGTGTGTGTGCGAGTCTAAGAGTCTGAGAGTGTGTGTGTGTGCGAGTCTGAGACTATGAGAGTGTGTGTGTGAGTCTGAAAGTGTGTGTGTGTGTGTGAGCGTGAGTGTGTGTGCGAGTCTGAAAGTGAGTGTGTGTGTGTGAGTCTGAGAGTGTGAGAGTGAGTGTGTGTGTGTGAGAGTGAGTGTGTGTGTGAGTCTGAGAGTGTGCGAGTGAGTGTGTGTGTGTGTGAGTCTGAGAGTGAGTGTGTGTGTGTGTGAGTCTGAGAGTGTGAGTGTGTGTGAGTGTGAGAGTGTGAGTGTGTGAGAGTGAGTGTGTGTGTGAGTCTGAAAGTGTGAGAGTGAGTGTGTGTGCGTGAGTCTGAGAGTGAGTGCATGTGTGTGTGAGTCTGAGAGTGTGAGAGTGAATGTGTGTGTGCGTCTGAGAGTGTGACATTGAGTGTGTGTTTGAGTCTGAGAGTGTGATAGTCAGTGTGTGTGTGAGTCTGAGAGTGTGAGAGGGAGTGTATGTGTGTGTGAGTCTGAGAGTGTGTGTGTGAGTCTGAAAGTTTGAGTGTGTGTGTGAGAGTGAGTATGTGTGTGTGCGAGTCTGAGAGTGAGTGTGTGTGTGAGTCTGAGAGTGTGAGAGTGAGTGTGTGTGTGTGCGAGTCTAAGAGTCTGAGAGAGTGTGTGTGTGCGAGTCTGAGACTATGAGAGTGTGTGTGTGAGTCTGAAAGTGTGTGTGTGTGTGTGTGAGCGTGAGTGTGTGTGGGAGTCTGAAAGTGAGTGTGTGTGTGTGTGAGTCTGAGAGTCAGTGTGTGTGTGTGAGTGTGAGAGTGAGTGTGTGTGTGAGTCTGAGAGTGTGCGAGTGAGTGAGTGTGTGTGCGTGAGTCTGAGAGTGAGTGCATGTGTGTGTGAGTCTGAGAGTGTGAGAGTGAATGTGTGTGTGCGTCTGAGAGTGTGACATTGAGTGTGTGTGTGAGTCTGAGAGTGTGATAGTCAGTGTGTGTGTGAGTCTGAGAGTGTGAGAGGGTGTGTCTGAGTCTGAGAGTGAGTGTATGTGTGTGAGTCTGAGAGTGTGAGTGTGTGTGAGTCTGAGAGTGTGAGAGTGAGTGTGTGTGTGAGAGTCTGAGAGTGTGAGAGTGTGAGGTTGAGTGTATGCGTGTGTGACTCTGAGAGTGTGAGAGTGAGTGTGTGTGTAAGTCTGAGAGTGAGTGTATTTGTGTGTGAGTCTGAGAGTGTCAGAGTGAGTGTATGTGTGTGTGAGTCTGAGAGTGTAAGAGTGAGTGTGTGTGAGTCTGAGAGTGTGAGAGTGAGTGTGTGTGTGAGAGAGTCTGAAAGTGTGAGAGTGAGTGTGTGTGTGAGTCTGAGAGTGAGTGTATGTGTGTGTGAGTCTGAGAGTGTGAGATGTGAGTGTGTGTGTGTGTATCTGAGAGTGAGTGTGTGTGTGTCTCAGAGTGTGATAGTGAGTGTATGTGTGTGAGTCTTAGTTATCTAGAGTGTTATACAGGTAGGAACAACACGTTCCAGACTGTCCACCAGGGATTATGTGTCTCTCTGTCATGCATATCCGGAATTCCGCCCACCCATGCACCTTTTCACTGAACACCAAGCTAAGCCGCGATTGGTTGATGATGTCGGGGGAGGGTGGGGGGGAAGGGTCAACATGCTCACTCATCCAACTGCCCCCCACCCCCGAACGCCGCGCTGTCCAACCAAGTTCCTACCTGCCCACTCCGAAGGAGCGTGTTTTTTCAGAAGCGACCTGTCTATCAGACATCATAGCAGCTCAACAAAGTGGCTTATCATGATGTGGAAATGTATTGCAGCCAAATACTCTGAATGCATGATGTTGATTCTAAATGTGGAGGCAAAATCCGGAGGACCCGGAGAAAAATACACACGACCACGGGGAGAGACAGAGACCGAGAAATTCAAACTCCAAATATTCAACAGGTATCGTCAGGGACGAGATCGAACCACGTCCTCCTGCATACCAGACGAGGTAGTTAACATCTAGCCACATATCGTCGGACCCACGAGGGGCCCCCACCAGACTCCAAGTGCCCGACTCTCAACATCCACGATCCAGCACTCTCTATGGGCACCCCTCTTGCCCTCAGCCCCATGGGCCTCTCGTAACTGGGGCATGATTCACGACGAGGGACTATTATTTTATGTTTTTACCAGGTAAGGCCTCCTGACCTGTTAGCTCTTTTTCAGAAGCGACCTGGCAAATGATATCTCAACCAAGTGGCTGATACCATCATCACGTGGACATGTATAGTACCAGAACGATAGAGACTCAGAGAGACCCATATAGATAATAAAGACCCATATTGATACAAGACCAATAGTGAGACAGAGACCAATATGGATACATGGAGGCATATCGCGACACATAGAGATACAGAGACCCATATAAATACCTAGAGATCCACATAAATGCATAGGGATACATATAGATAAAGACCCAGAGATTAAACTTTTTTTATTTATTTTACCACTGAGCCATATAGCCGTTTTTTAGAAGCGACCTCTCTTTCAGAAACGATAGCTCAACGAAATGGCTCAAGTGGAAATTGATAGCAGCCAAATACTCTCGTTGATTCTAAAGGTGGAGGGAAGACCCGGCGGACCCAGAGAGAAATCCACACGAATAACAGAGTAAACACACGAACTCCAAATATACAGGCGTCAGGGTCAGGATCAATCCCACGACCTCCTGTATACCAAGTGAGGGAGATAACATCTCCTAGCCACCACGGCAACCACACTCACATATGGAGTGGCTCAGGGAGCTATGTGTCTCTGCAGAAATCGGTGGCTGGAATCAGGGGTTGCATCACAAGCAAGTTCGCCCGCCTAAGGAAGGCTCTGGACGAGGACGAGAGGGAGGCTCTACGTCGTGTGGGCGTGAAGGAGCGCGAGCTGCTGTCCCGGATCGAAGAGAACATCGCTCGTCACAAGGGGGAGATCGCCGAGCTCCAGGCAGCGGCCACTCGCCTGGGCACTCTGCAGCTTGAGAAGGACTCGCTCACCTTCCTGCAGGTGGGAAGCGCCTCTGTGGAGATGGCGCGGGTGTTCAGAATAACAGAGCGGGCAGTAGCAGAGGGACTCGTGGTCCAAAGGTAGAGACTTCACCCGTGATCTCTTCCCTCTCTTCCACAGGGACACCTGGAGACGATGTGCAGGTATAGATCATTGACATCTCACGGTTAAACCCTTAACACGGGGCTGTGTGTGTGTGACATGGGCTGTGTGTGAGACACTGGCTGTGTGTGAGACACTGGCTGTGTGTCAGACGCTGCCTGTGTGTGAGTCGCTGGCTGTGTGTGAGTCGCTGGCTGTGTGTGAGTCATGTACTGTGTGTCAGACATGGACTGTCTGTGCTATGGATGCTGAGTGTTCCGATTATGTGGATAAACGAGGATGTGTGTGATGCTGTTGGTGGTTGTCCTAGGAGAGAGATCCCAACGGAATCCGCACCTCCACCTCCAACTTCACTGGACGCCACCACGATCAGCTCCCTTGAAAGAGTCGTTAACAGATTCCTGCCTCTCGTCTGTGAGTTCCTCAGTCTTGCACCCGTGTGTACTGCTATGTTGCACTGCACTTCTGTGCTCCCCACCTTCATCAACTTTTTTGTTGCAACAGATAAGGCCCACTGAACTATTAGTTACTTTTTCAGAATAAGCTTAGACATGTATAGTAGCAGCAAAATACTCTGAACGCATTATGTTATATCTAAATGTGGAGGAGAAATCTGAAGGACCTGGGGGAAAATCCACGCGACCACGAAGAGAGAGAGACGAAAACTCCAAATATACAGCAGGCGTCAGGATTGGGAACGTACCCACGACCTCACCTCTGAAGACAGGCAGTCCAAATACGATATACAGATGGACAGACAAATATCCCCCTAGAGCCTCAACAGACTGTTGGGGCAAGTGGTGTGAGCGAGTAGCAAGCACTTATGAAGGCCGGCACGGCACATAGCAAATGTTTACACATCACACCAGCAGAGGGCAGTGCAGCATACACCATTATTGTACTGTACCTATATGCTTCTACATATATGATCCCCACCTTTACCAAAGCCCACTGACAACAGTCAAATAACCCCCATGACCCGCACGGTGTGTGGAGGCCCTCATCCATCAGTGGAGTGAGAAAATGTCAGGGCGTGGATGTGACTGTGCGAGGCTGTGGAGACTATTGTACACGGGTCGTGTTTATAAAGAAACGCTACAATAGTGACATTAACATCCTGGTGTAGACATCATCACGAATGTGCAATACTACTGCCCACACATTCATGGTGAGATTAGTATTATTAGTACACATACTAGCATTCCTTAGTATTGTGTATACATATTAGTATTCGTTAGTTTTTGTGTACACATACTAGTATCCATTAGTATGTATATACACGCACTAATATGCTTTAGTATTTGTATACATATTCTAGTATTTGTTAGTATTTGTGAACACATACGAGTGTTAGTGTTTGTAAATATGTACGAGCATTCGTTAGTATCTGTGTATGCCTACTAGTATTCGTGAGTATTTGTGTACATATACTAGTATTCGTTAGTATTTGTATACACATACTGGTATCATGTCATACACATTATAATCATTGTGCGTTTGTTACGCGTCAATGTATTATGTATTGTAGTATCACTACAATAACATGAATGATAACACAACACGCAGTGTGTGTGTGTACACGCTACCTGTAATGCTTGGACTGCCACTGCGCACACGTTGCTGTAACCACGGTGCGAGCGTCGTTGCTGTTGTCACCACAGATGGATGCTCACCGACTCTGGACACAAACTCAGCCTACGACCTCCTCCAGATTTCCTCAGATCTCAGGACGGTGACGCTGAACGATGTCCCCCAGGGTCGCCTCCATCACCCACACCGGTTTAATTACTGGGACCAAGCCCTGTGCTCTGAGAGCTTCTCGTCGGGTCAGCACTATTGGGAGGTGGACGTGGGGAATTCGGGGTGGTTGTGTAGGATTGGAGTCGCGTATGCGACGATCCCACGGAGAGGGCGTGGTGCTGAGTGCCGCCTGGGAGGGAGTGACGTCTCCTGGTGTCTACAGAAATATGGCAACAGCTTCTCAGTGCTGCATGGCGGGGTAGAGACCTCACTGTCGGTGCCAGAGCCTCTACGGAGAGTCGGGGTTCATCTGGACTGGGACGTGGGGCTCCTGTCTTTTTACAGCGCCAACTCCATGGTGCTCTTGCACTCTTTTCACCAAACCTTCGCTCAGCCCCTATATCCTGGGCTGTACGTGGATGGGTTGTTGTACGGTAACGTTGGTGACTCGGTGAGGATTGTGGATCTGAGTGGTGCTTCCTGAGAGAGGTGAACGTGAACATCGTAGAGAGCAGACACCAGAATGCACGGCACTCGCCACTGTCGTCACCGTTACGTGCAGTGTTACGCCTGTTACTAGTTGGTGGTTATGAGTGCGCGGCTCTCCATTAGAATGGGGGCTGAGCGTAAAAAATCCTCACATCCTTTCTAGGGGGGTGATAAAATAGGTACTTCTAGACTTGAAGCTTTCGTGACTGCAAGGAATCATATTCTTAGGTGTTTTCGGTAAAGTCACGTAGGTAAAACATCAAAATTAATAAAAATAATAAAATAAAATAAAGATCACGACGTTTCGGAGGCAACACAAGTCTCCGTCATCAGGTGGGACAGTCACAGCCAGATCAGCTGCATCAAGTGAGGCAATGATTCAAGATGTAATCCCTTAAAAGCGAGTTGAGGGGGGAGGAGAGGGGGGGGGCTCATCAGAATGTGGTAGCCAATGAATGGAAAGTATCGGGAGAGAGGGGCCCACCCTTTTTTTGGCCCCTCTCTCCCGATACTTTCCATTCATTGGCTACCACATTCTGATGAGCCCCCCCCCCCCCTCTCCTCCCCCCTCAACTCGCTTTTAAGGGATTACATCTTGAATCATTGCCTCACTTGATGCAGCTGATCTGGCTGTGACTGTCCCACCTGATGACGGAGACTTGTGTTGCCTCCGAAACGTCGTGATCTTTATTTTATTTTATTATTTTTATTAATTTTGATGTTTTACCTATGTAATAAAGGACTCGACCACGAAATCTGGCTTGGTGTCCTTTATTCGGTTCTTCCTCGCAACCCACACGGCTGTCCTTCTATACGCCTTCCGCACTGATACTGATACTGCTGTTTACCCCGTCACGCCAACAGCTCCTCTGTTGGTCTCCCGTTGTTCTCGTAACCTTCCAGCAGCCTCGCCGCTGTTACCCTCACGCAGCCCCCACTGGCTGCACTCGCTGCTGTTTCTCTTCTCGTCGCTCTCGTAGCCTCTCACACACAGCCTCGCCGGCTGTGTTCACCGCAGCTCCTCAACCACCCTCTCTCCAGCAGCCACACTGCTGTCTTCTCTCGCAGCTCCGCTGGCTGCTCCCTTAGCTGGCCACCGCTGGCCGCCGGTGCCACTCTTCCTGGCTTCGCCCAACGTGGCCTTACTCTTGTCCAGTCTCTCACTCTCTCCCCTCCTCTTCCGGTCTCATCCCTTAAGAACCTTAACCTTGCTCCCACGTCACCTAACTCCACCTCTCCGTGACGTCACATCCGGGAGGTCGCCCGCGCCCGCATTACACCACCCTCCCCCGTGGAAAAAAACCCAGCCGACCTCGGCTGAACAACACCAACAGTAATGCGGGCGAAACCGACCCTAACACACCAAAGGACACCAAGCATGCAATATAACAGTAAGAACAATCAACACAACTCAATAAGCAAGTAACGTAGCAGAAGCAGGCAATAAATACACAGTAAGAGCAATAACGCAACGTAACAATCAACGAAACACAAGGGATTTAGAACGTGTGCGGGTCGCCGGCCCATCCCGGACGGTCGGCGGCCCATCCGCGGAACGGGAACGTGATGGAGTTTGAGGAGTGACAGGGTGAAATCCCCCTGTCGCTGTTGGAAGTCCACCAACGTCCCGTGTCCCTGAAGGATCAGTCTCGGGCGTGTCCCGCGGATGTGTCTGCAGCGGGGTCGGAAGGGCTGCAGGGCTCGAAGTTCCCGCAGATCTGGCAGGCACCCTCCGAGCAGGGCGCCTCGTCCCCTCTGGTGTCAAGGCCGGCCTGCCTGGTTCGGTGGTTCCTTGGTCGGCTTGGCCGTTGATGAGGCCTCCTGTTGCGGCGGACCCGGGATGCGGGCCCAGCAGTCCTTCGCGTAGTGGCCCTTCCGTCCGCAGCGGAAACAATCGGCGTCGTTGCGCCGAAGCGCAGGCCTTGCATCCCGCCGGCCCCGTACCGGTGGTGCAACGCGAGAGGCCGGCCCACCGCGGCCTGACCATGGCCCAGAGGCGGCCGTCAGCTCCTGAGGGCCCCCCCCATCCGGCACGTATACCGACTTCGTAGGGTCCCAACCCAGAGCGCCACCCTCTGCGACGGGCCCCCCTGTCCACGCCGCGACTTGTTTCCACCGTCGGAGGTTGAATTGTGCATCCAGACATTTTGCCGCCGCCCGGGAAGTGAGCTTCTCATGCCCACACACCGGCATGGGAATCCCAAGATCCCGCGACAGCTCGAGCATCTTGCCCAAGATGAGAGGCTCGAGCAGGTCAGGTGTTGTTTCTGGATACGCGGCCATAGCCAAATCAAGCACCGCACCCCTGTATGCCACGGGCGATTCCTCGGGCGCTCGTTGTCGTTGAGCAAATCGCCGATGCGCGTCGTCAGGAGGCTCGTAGGCGTCGGCCATTTCTTGAAAAACTCCAAATAATGTCTTCTTCTTTTCGGCCTTAATGGAACGAAAAAATCGAACAGATTCGTCGTCCAGAAGAGTCGGCAACACTTCTAAGGCCTCAGCATCGGTCCATCTCGCAGAACGGACCGCCGCCAAAAATCTGCAGGCGAAAGCGCTCCAGTCGCCCCCAATGGCGAATTCTTTGACCGTGGTGAGATGGCGACTCCGACTTCTCTTTACTCCGCCCTCCGCCGATGGCTCCTCCGGTGGCAAATTCAAAATGGCGTCGAACCGCGGCGTGGTCAAGATGGCGGTTTCCCGCCGCGGAACGCGCAAGATGGCGGCCTCCTGCCGCGTGGCCAATGGCGCCGGGAGCGAAGATACCGTGGCGGCCTGTGGAGCACCCTCCGCCCTCTCCGTCGCCGTCCTTGGGGTGACGAGATGACACAATTGGCCCAGGACGTCCTTGAGCGTCTCCAGTTGCTCCGCCACCTGCAGCCATCGCAGATCAGCGTCTGATGTTGTCGGCGGCCCCGACACTGCGGCTACATCTTCAACCCCAGTCCCCGCACTCGTTTCAGCAGGGCTCTCCTCCACCACCCCGGCAGGATCCATGTTTGGAGGGAAGTCGTCGTCTTCGGACGAAGAAGCCGATGCTGGCGCTGGAACATTTTTCTTTCTCACTTGTTTCGACATGCCGTTGCACTTCCGACACCAATGTAATAAAGGACTCGACCACGAAATCTGGCTTGGTGTCCTTTATTCGGTTCTTCCTCGCAACCCACACGGCTGTCCTTCTATACGCCTTCCGCACTGATACTGATACTGCTGTTTACCCCGTCACGCCAACAGCTCCTCTGTTGGTCTCCCGTTGTTCTTGTAACCTTCCAGCAGCCTCGCCGCTGTTACCCTCACGCAGCCCCCACTGGCTGCACTCGCTGCTGTTTCTCTTCTCGTCGCTCTCGTAGCCTCTCACACACAGCCTCGCCGGCTGTGTTCACCGCAGCTCCTCAACCACCCTCTCTCCAGCAGCCACACTGCTGTCTTCTCTCGCAGCTCCGCTGGCTGCTCCCTTAGCTGGCCACCGCTGGCCGCCGGTGCCACTCTTCCTGGCTTCGCCCAACGTGGCCTTACTCTTGTCCAGTCTCTCACTCTCTCCCCTCCTCTTCCGGTCTCATCCCTTAAGAACCTTAACCTTGCTCCCACGTCACCTAACTCCACCTCTCCGTGACGTCACAACCGGGAGGTCGCCCGCGCCCGCATTACACCTACGTGACTTTACCGAAAACACCTAAAAATAGGTACTGCTCTGTGTGTGTGTGTGTGAATCCAACATGGATGTGGTCACCCTGCCCGAGGAGTGTGATTACAGTGTAGGGGTGCAGTGATTTGCAATGGTGAACTGGAATGTTTTATACACTGACTAGCGTTTAGTACCCGGCGTTGCCCGGGCGAAAAAGGCAGACACACATGTAGTTGCACACGCAAATCGACTGACACACACATAGAGTTACACGCACTAATGGACTCACACATACATACATAGACTGAACAACAACAACCGCCATTCGCCACTAAGTGGTGGTGACATCACGACAATGCTTGTGCCAGGCTATGTGCACCTTAAGGCCACGTGAAGTGTCGAACGCCCGCAGACAGGAGTTCACGGGGCAAACCCAGATGGCACAGGTCGACTGACTGAGACAAATGGCTGATGCACCACCTGTGGCCCTTACTGTGGCAACTTTCTGTGCTTTAGCCACCCGGCGCTCCGCTCATTGTTGTGAGCGTCGCTCCTCCGCCCTCCGTTGTTGTTGGAGGGTGACTGCCTCCAACTGCCCAGTAGCGTCCTTCAGGAGCCTCCTCCACAGAGTCTGATCTTGACACGGCTTGGTAGCAGTCATCCGCAAGTGGACTCAGCTCCAAGTCCTCCTGTACCACATCAATCCATGTCTTCTCCAGCCCGTGCAACGCCTGTTTAGCCCCCTCGATCCGGCCGAACAAAAGTTGTTTAGGCATGCGGTGGCTGGCCATGCAGGCTACATGACTCAGGCAACGCAGCCTTGCCTGCTGGAGGTCACCGATTGGACTTTGTCCACATCTTTCAAGGATTTGTGAGCTCCTCACACAATGCAGCCAGGTTAAACCCAGGATGGATCGTAGGCAGGCCATCCTAAATGTTTCTAACCGGCGAAAATGTTCCATTAGGGGGGTCCAAGTTTCACAAGCGTAGAGAAAGGAGGGAATGACCGTGGCTGAGAAGACCTGAAGCTTCGTACAGAGTGATAGACCAGGTAGCTTCCACACAGCGTTATGCAGCCAATGAAAAGATAATGCAGCTCGACTTATTCGGAGTGAGACCTTTGCTGTTAAACCGGAGCCGGTCATTAGCACACTGGCAAGGTATGAGAAACTCTCCACTGTCCCCACAACTGCCCCATCACCAATTGGGAGTTGTGGGGGTGGAGTGTTCGATGGTACAAAATAGCCAGGCAGGTGCGTAGTTTTGGTGGGGCTGATGGTAAGGCCCCACCTGTTGGTGGCAAGCTCCAGGTTCAGCAACAGCACCTCGAACTCCTCCTCCGAGTGAGCAGCAATTAGCAGATAATCGGCATACATAACGTGGTTGAGCAATATGGAGCCATCCCTTGACCGCACCCAGGCATCGTTCAGCCTCCCATTGTATCTGTAGCAGATGGGAATTCTTCCGGTACAGGCATTGAAAGCTTGATGAACTACGTGGTCCAAATATATGTAAAATAATGTGGGAACCAGAGGACATCCCTGTTGCACCCCAAGGTGTAAAGAGAATGGCTCTGACTCACAGCCACGTAGTTAGACGCGGCGCCGCTCACCATAATGAAGGTCCTTAA